GTTTTTCAATTTTTGCCAAAAACTTATTGAAATAAGAATTATAAAAATCGAATAAATTGTTCCCTCAGTCTCTCGATTTAATTTTAGGGTCTCCATTTTTTTGGCAAAAAAATGTGGAATCACTATTGCGATAAATACTCACAACATACTTTTTTTTTTTTGTAAAAAACATACTTATTTAAATTAAGTACTCCAAACTCTCTCTGTCTGCGTGTGTGATTTTGTGTCCGCCCTCCCTTGCTTCCTCATCTCATGTTCTTCTCTTAGGTAAAGGAAGAGGCATAAGTTATTATTGAGGAATGAATATGTAGCTTATGGCATGTCCCCATAATTAAAGAGGTTAAGTAAGGAACAAATCCTCATCATCTATTCCCTTAAAGAGTTCGGACTTGCTTCTTATCTCCATTCACATTCTTCTGTCATTCATTGCCCTCTTATCATCATCTTTCAATCTTGCAGGTAAATATTGCCTTGGAGATTCTTTGTTATGTTGATTCTTAAATTAATTTTGCCAGGAAAAAAAAAATTTAGAAAATGAAACATCGAAAGGAATCTGCTAGATGTTCTGGCTATGTGACAGCAGATTTATATTAGTTGGATTTGTATTATTCAGATGTTAGTTCAATCGGTGAATTCTTAGATGGTCCTTTGTTTAATTTTTCAAAATATTAAAGAGTTAGATTAACTTCTTTGACTCATTTACATTTTTGTCTCTCATTATATGAATCTTTCTTATCTTGCGTCATTTATATTTACATTCAACCTTGCTTTATACGTACCAGCAGCAGTTTCAGTCATTCTCTACAACCTGCCTTTACTGTTCAAGCTTCTCAAATATCTTCAAGTTCATCTATTGTCAAAAAGGTATATATTCACTTGAAGATTCTTTGCTATGTTTTTTTTTTTAAATATTGTTTGTTTCAAAATAATATCATTTAGATACATATCAGATTGTTGTTTGCTTCTTTATTCTTGCATCTGCGGATCAGAGTTTGAACTCGAGAATAATTGATACTCCTCTTGTCCTAAATATAAAACCCATTTTGTAGTGTAAATTACACTGCAAAATGGGTCTTATATTTAGGATTGGAGGAGTACTAATGGAATATAACTTATCTAAACTTTCAGAATATAAAAGAAGTTTTGGCCACAGAAAAATATAAAAGAATAATAATATTATCAGGCCGAAAAAATAGTACCGCATTAAACACTGAATTTGTTAGGTGCTTTTAATATTATACTGAATTTATGTTATTTAACGTGCTTTTAATTTAAATGAATTATTTTGATTTAACTCATCAAGTCATCCAAATATGGAATAATTTTATTTTCGGTTTTAAATTAAATATGTATTTATCAAACCACTGATAGTTATAAGATTAGTCTTGGTTTAGTTTTACATCATGATTATATTAAAGTATTACTACAAAAATAAAAATGATATTTAATTTGGCCCGTCTGATGATTCGAGTTTAGATATGAACATCCCGTGCTAATCTAATTATGTTTTAAGAAGCATGCGATCCTTTTCTTATTAGAAAAATCTTAGTCGTAATTTGAAATATTGTGATTTGAATCATAGTACTTATGTAAATTTGGAATATTTTCATCAAAGCCAAAAAAGAAATCAACAATATCACTAACCCATAAACTATTTCAATAAAGACCTAAAATATTTTCAATCAAATATGATTTTTTTTATTGCCTTTAAAATTAGTTTTATCAAACATAATAATATTAAAATATTACACATCAAATCTGTTACCCGCTTTTCTTATTTTATGCTGAATTTAAATTAACTGAATTTTTAGACTAATGAATTTATTTTTTCCTCAAATTTCATAGCAAGTTTTGTTAATGACTAATGAGCTTTATTTTACCCCAAAAAAAAAACGTAAATTAGCCACACAATTTTCGTTTCTAATCAGTTTACTGTTTTACTAATGTTATTGCTAATATACTGGTTTTTGTAGTTTTTTTTTCCCCTCCTTTGGATTCCTAAGTTATTATACAATAATGAATTTCAAGACTTTAAAATTTTTGAACACTAATATACATCATATATTTGTATTAATTGGATGAACTGTTGTTTCCTATTTTTATGTAGCTGGACGTATTCCTTAATTTGATTTTTTTTAAGTAAATGTTAATTTGATCTTTTTAGTAAAAGAACAAAATGATATTAAGATTAAAAAAGATTACAATGTCTCTTAATTTGACTTGAGAGTCACTCAAGTGGATATTTCTGCATTATTCATCTAACTTCATTAGGATATTCGAGGTCAATAACCAATATCACAATAACCCTTTTAGTCGAACTCCATTTTTTATTTATTTGCTTATTTTTATATTTTATATTTTTCTTATTATTTGCCATGGATATAGTAGGGGAATAACTTCTCAATCGCCAAATGAATTGATACTTTTGTAAAGGAGTATAGAATAATTTATTTTTATGTTTTTAACTTTAATTTTTTTATGCAAAGACTCATTGTTTCATACATGTTAATAAGTTATGCTTTATAAATTGCTTCGTCATAAAAGATTACAACTTTGTTTTTCTTTCTTTTGAATCTCAGAATAAATTTACGACAAAGAATATATGTAGAAATCAAACTCTTTAAAATTTTGAGCTTCATAATATCATAGGCTTTATTAAATCACTATTTGTTTCTTTCTTGAAAGTGGTATACGAGGATTACTTCCATTTAAATGAATGACTTCTATAATTATTATGCGTATATAAACATAGTCACTATACTCTAGGGGGCAAAATTTTTATATTACAGCAGAAGGAATACTTCTTACTTGATTGAGAATTCTCCGTCTGTTACATAAAATATCATTTATTACCAAAAAAATGTTTAATTTGGAAATATGATGACAAATAAACTTAAAATAAGGCATTAATGAGCATTTTCTAGTTTGAAAAAGCACTAAAATTATCACTTATTTATATTCATATTACATATAAACAAGGGAATATGAGTTCTTTATTTTACAGACAATAAATTATATTTCTTTTAACAAAAGAAAACATATAGAAGCAAAAGATAAATGATGTGATATATTTTTTTTTTCTTTGTCTTTGGAGTCTATTGTAAAAAATTTTGTGATTATTGTTTTTATTATAATGAAAAATTAATAATTTGAATTGCGTAGTAATTATGAACTAAATTTTATATGACGTGTTATGAAGTTTTGGGAAGGAGTGACTAACAAAAATAAAAACATGAGCTTTTTTTTCCTTTCCATCCGAATTCCACATGAAAAAATTTTGATACTAACTTTGCATACTTGCAATGCTTATTTTCAATATATTTGTATTTTTTCCGGTGATATATGCATATTTGTATTTTTTTAAATCTATGATTCTTCGTCGAACTAAATTTTGTTGTTAATACTTTTATATTTTAAAAAAATAAATCCAATTATTCTAATTTATTGGAAGAAGGTAGTTTAAGTATGCTAGATAAGGTGAAAATATCTAAGTTTCCTCCGTTCTAACAATATTAATATCATTGTTAATACGAGAAAATATTTTAAGCTCAATAGCAATAGCAAAATTCTTAAAGTAGACTTTTTAGGAATTTCTCTTCCCTTTTTCATCTAATTATGTCCGCATATAACTTCTATTAGGTGAGCTTTTATTTGTCTTTTAATTAATATATTTTATCTTTTTGTCAAAAAAAATAACAAAACTCTTAAATAAGATATGAAAATATATAACAAAATAGGGATTGTCAATTATATTAAAATAAAAGTATAAAAAATACAATAATATTTAATTGGATCGTCTTTGGCAAGTAATTGTTTGATATATTGTGATGTGAATTCTGAGATGAAGCTCACAGTAATAAGACAATATGTAGTTGATGAATCATAGTACTTTTCCAAAAATTTGAATATTTTCATCGAAAAGAAATCAGAAATCAGAAAATACCATGAACCTGAAAACTATTTCAATAAACACCATGTTCTGGGCACATGTAAGCTTTCTTCCCCTTCTTTTTGTTCTTCAATAATTATATAATAATGAATTTCCAGAATTTAAAATCTTTGAAAATTAATATATATATATATATATATATATATATAATATGTTTGTGCTAACTTCTGTGCATTTTTATTTGCTATTTTTGTGTATTTAGGCATCCCATAATTTAAGAGTCATTTTGGTAGACATTTCTGCATCATTAGTCTCATTTCTGTGAATTGTTATTTGCCATTTTTGTGTATTTACTTACTTATTTACTTATTTGTTTTTTCAGATTTTTCTTATCATTTGTGGTGAGTGCGATGACGGTTAACTTAATCACCAAATGAAATCGGTACCTTGCCAAAGAACTCAAGTTAAGAATAATTTATTTTTACCTTTTTAACTTTATTTCTTTTATCCAAAGGCTTCTTATTTTTTTAGTGTCTATTGTATGTCTTTGTCACTTTAGATGTCTATTGTGGATCATAAATTCTGCTATATATATAACTTAGCTTGCTTCCTCGTAAAAGATTTATCAGTTTTCATGAGATGGGAGATGTCATATCACATAAGAATAATGTTATTACATATTTTTTACAATTATAGCAACAAAAAAAAACTCAAGTCTTTCCTAAACTTCTTATTATATGCATTTTGATATTGTTCTCACTTAAAATTTTTATAATTAATTGTATTTTTTTAATTTAAATAAATAAAATTTATTAAATAATCTTGAATTGGGATCTTTTGGCTAAACTTTGTCATAGTTTTGCTGAGGGAGCAACCCCTTTTCACATTATTAAAAGCTTTAGGTTTTTCCTATTAAAAAAAGATGTATTTTATTGTGTTCCAATGCTTACATTCTGAAAATAAGAAGATTAGAAAAAAAAAATGGCGTTGTTATTAAAATAATCGGCTTAAAAAGTGTGGTGTTCAAGCATTATACACAAACACACACAGTGTAAGTTTGGTTCTCTGAATATATTACTAATTAGTCATGCATTAATTATGATTGCATTAGATGGCAGAGATTGTGATCTCAATCGGGTCAAAGGTTGCAGAATGCTTGGTGGGTCCGATTTCACAAGGAGTTGCTCATTTGTTCTGCTTTAGGAAATTTAATGAAGACTTTGAGAAAGCAAGACGAGAGCTGGAGGTGAAACTAGAAGACGTGAGAAACCGTAAGGAAGAAGCTGATCGAAAAAATGAAGACATAATGCCAGCCGTGGAGAAGTGGTTGGATGATGTGAATGCTATCCTACAAGAGGCGGAAAAGCTGCAACCAGAGCTTGATCGAGGACGAAACAATTGTTTCAATGTGTCAGTTAGATACTCATTATCCAAACAAATGGAAAATAAGGCTAAACAGATGACGGATCTCAAACAAAAGTCTGACTTTCCGGTATTTGCCCAGTTGAGGCAACTTCCTGGCTTGACTGGCTTCCCTTCCAAAGACTTTATGGATTTCAATTCAAGGAAGTCAACTTATAATCATCTTTTGGAGGCAATTAAAGATGGCACAAACAAGATGGTGGGTTTATATGGTATGGCAGGATCAGGCAAAACCACTTTGGCAGAAGAAGTGGGCAAGAAATTAAATGAGCTGAAGCTTTTTGACAAGGTCATCATCGTAGTCATTTCGAAACCCCCAAATATTTTGAACATTCAGCAACAAATAGCGGAGATAATAGGCTTGCAACTTCAAGAGAAAACTCAGTCTGCGAGAGCACAAAGGCTATTAGAAGGATTGAAAAATAAGAAGATTCTTATAATATTGGATGATGTCTGGGAGTGTCTAAGGCTTGAAGATATTGGCATTTCACTCGTTGAAGGTTGCCATGTGTTGTTAACCACTCGTCTTCGGAATATTTGTGTCTCTATGGATTGTGAGCCTTTGATTGAACTCCCTTTGATAACTAAGGAGGAGGCATGGGAATTATTCAAGAAGCATGCGAACCTGCGCAATGATCCCTCAAATAAGTTTGATGATGTGGGAAGGAAAATCATTGATGAGTGCAAGGAGCTACCTATTGCAATTGTTGTAGCTGGAAGATCCTTAAAGGAAAAACGTATTGAAGCGTGGGAGTTGACCCTAGGGAGACTAAAACAATTCCAACCAATGGATGTTGAACCAGGTTTGAGAAGCCCTTATGCTTGTCTCGAATTGAGTTATGATAGTTTGCCAAATCTAACAGCCAAGTCGCTCTACTTATTATGCTCTATGTTCCCTGAAGATCATAAAATCCATAAAGAGGACTTAATTCGATTTGGCAAGAGAACACTTGAGCTAGAGGAGACTACTGACACAATCGAGGATGTGAGGCGACAGATTTTAGTAGCTCTTGACATCTTGTTAGATTCTTGTTTGTTAATAAGTACGGATAAGGAAGCCTGTGTAAAAATGCATGACTTAGTTCGAGATGTAGCTTTGTGGATTGCAAAGAAGCAATGTCAACCAATTTTGGTTGATAGCAATGCAGTTTCAAACATGTTGGTTAGAAACCACCAAAGTCTGAAAGATGTAAAGACACTCTCATTGTGGGATTTGGATGTGGATTATTTCAAGCGCTTTAACCAATTGTGTTGTCCAACACTTGAGATTCTGCTCCTTCAACCCCATGGGTTCATCGATGACGTTGGAGCAATGGAAGCACTAAAAGTCTTGGCGTTCATACAATATGGCTTTAATTGGAAACCTTGGCGGGTTGATTATTGTTCAGTTCCGCAATCAATTGTATCATTAACAAATCTTCACACCTTATGTCTTAGAGGGAAAATATTGGGTGACATATCTCTTTTGGGTGAACTTAAAGGATTAGAGATTCTTGACCTACGTGGTTCCTTATTTGTTGAATTACCTGCTGGAATTGTAGAAATGAAAATGTTGAAACTTTTGGATATATATGGTTGCCAAATTGAGAAAAGCCCTTTAGAAGTAATTGGAAGATGTGAGCAGCTTGAAGAATTATACTTTTGGGACAAAAAATCTGTCATCCCAAAAAAAATTTCTCCGTCAAGGTTGAAGAGGTATGTTATTTATGATTCCACATGCAGTATAATGTCTCCATTTGATCATGATCCTTTTGAAAAATATTTGGATAGTTGCGGTGAAACATTAAGAGCTTTATGTATAGAAGGCTTCAAGGTCTCTGATTTGAATTCATCAATGAAAGATCTCATTTTTAGGGCAAACCACCTTTGGCTAGATAATGTGAGGTGGGATCATAGAGATATAAATTTTCAGATAAAGCACTTAGGGGTATCGTGTTGTCAAGATCAAAGATTCATCATCGAGAACCTTGATATGAACATGCTTCAAACACAACAAGTGTTCTCACACTTAATTACTTTAAGGTTGTTTGAAATGAATAGTCTTGAGCAAGTGTTCCAAGATTCATCTATCAGCTACTTTCTCCCCATGTTACAAGAGCTATGGATACAGAGCTGTCCTGAATTGAGAACTTGCATCTTCTCACATGCCACAATTATGAGCTTGCCAAAGTTGAGAAAACTTCAGTTTCATAGGTGCATCAAAGTGAAATGGCTATTGTCTTGTTCTCTGGCTTTTCATTGTCCTTTACTAGAGGAAATTATTATACGCTATTGCTCTGAACTTGAGAGGTTCATTGATGAAGGAGTTGCCGATGGGGGTCCACGACTTCATGATAAGCAATATTATCCACATGTAAGTATTATTCGCAAAATCCCTCATGAATCACTGCATAAGAAATAACAATCTGTGTACATGCATTTGCTGAAATTTGTTGTTTTTCTTTCCTTATATGAATTTGATATCTTTTTCTCAATTTATGTGAAATCAATGCCTCTATTTTGCCTCTCTAGTTATTTTAACTCCTTTGCTGGAAAAACTAGAATCATGCAACTGCTAATAATTTCACACGTTTTTAGGTTTTTTTTTTCTTTTTGTTCACTCTACCAGGCTAACTATTTTTTTAAAATTTTTTTGAAGATAGCCATATTTATTTATTTTTCATTTAATTTGAAAATTTTGTGCATATGATCCAGCAATATATATAAGTATAAAAAATAGGAATAATCCCATAAAGAGAACCTTGAATTATTAAATCTTAAATTAGGTTTTGTAACAAACACTTTATTAGGTTTTTTATAAAGCTAGATTTGCAAATAATAAAACATTTTTGTAAAAACTTCTTATTTGAGATTTAGTAACTTCAAACTTTTTTTATGAGATTCTCCGTAAAAGATATATGTTCTCAATAACAAACAATAGTCATATCATATTTCTTTTTTGTTTATTCTTCCTCTACTTTTTTTTAAATTTAAAAATAGCCATGTTTATAATCGTATTATATATATTTATATATAATCACTACACAAATATATTCTTAGTAAGAGATAATAGTCATTTAATTTTTGAATTGACTTCATTGTGACTTTATAAGCCTCTTTTATTGCGAAATTTTCTGAGATTTGTATTTAGGCTACATGATAAAACTATTTCAAGATAATATTGCTTTTCAGGCTTTGTATTTTTCTTATTAATTCTTATTTTTGACTTATTCATTTTACTTTGCCAATTGAAATACTTCATATTTTTTTATTCTGTATTTTGGTCAAGGAAATATTTTATACATTGTTTTTGGCATCAGATACTTATTTTAGGAAGTATTAATTCAAAGTTGTTCTATTTATAACAAATTAGTGCCGATGCATTATCCATAAATTACACATACTTTAAACATAGAGTTATCTTTATTTTTTTGATTTTTCCGCCATGCTTTTTATGGATGTGAAAAAAAACACTTTTTAACTGTGTCTCTTTGTCTTAAAAAATTGTATGTTTATATTTCAGGTTTTGGTCAAATAATTCTTCGTGTTGGTCATAAAATACATAATATGTCTGATCTACTGTATACATGTCATTAATTAAATGTCATAATGGAGGTTGAATATAATCACGCAGCATAAAATATATAAAATCTTCGTTCGTTACATATTTTTCTTGTTAAATACATGTTGAGATTATGTTATCATGATCTAAAAAATACGTGAAATCAATATAGTTTAATTTCAGAAAGAAGGTCAAGTTGTTGTTTGTTGTCAAAAACTAGTTTTATAAGTTACGATTTCTAAATTAATTAGAGAGGCTGCTATATTATAATTAGTGTCATTTTTTTATTTTAGAATTTTTAACTATATAACAATGTTCTTATGATGAAATTCTAGATCACTAAAGGCAAGATCAAGGACTGAGTAGCAATAATAAATAAAAGTCCAGGGACACGGTTTTATAGTGAGTATTACTACTTGTGGTTTTCTTTTTCTGTTTTCAGTATTACAAAATATTATTTACAAATTGTAATTGTTATTTCTTTCCACGCACGAATTTGATAAAAACTTTAACATCTTTTGTTCATTTTAATTTATTATCAAAAAATTGATCTCATTCTTTCGAACAGCACTTTAAATTTTTGTTTTATATTTTGTCAATAAAATATTATTTATGATACCACACTTTAAGATAAATGTTTTTCTTGAATTTTCTTTTGATATTTAAAAAGATCTCTCTTACCGTGCCTCTTTTACTGCTATTAAAATTTTTATATTTTCATTTCAAGTTTTGGTAATAAAAAAAGTCCTGATTGTTACTATATATATTTGCCCAGTTGTTAGAAAGGATTATTTACTAGCAATAGTTGGCAATAATTAATATATTATATAAGAAACTTACTGGGTTTAATCTCCAATCTAGTTAGAGTAAAAAGCAAATTGTTTTTGTACAGCCATACGCGATCGTGGGGGCTTGCTGTGAGGTTGCTTTGTTATTAAAAAAAAAAAAAGCAAGTTGTTATAATCAGTCCATTTCATAATTTTAATTTTAATACATTTACAGGGAAAGGAAACTGACAGTGCTTATGTGGGCGTTACAGCAAAAAGATTCAATCAGTTGCAAAATCAGCAATCCTTGATCCTTTTTCTCAGGTTGAAAAGTCTACGAATTAAAGAGAGTGGAAAAAAGAAAGTATATTGGAAATCCATGTCAGAGAAGAGTAGAAGATGATGATGAATCTATTAAAGCCCAAGAACCTCTAAAGCTGGATTCAGAGTTGAGTGAATTAAAATTAGGTGATCTACCAGAATTGGAATATATTTGGAAGGGCCCCACCCAAATTGTGAGCCTCCATAGACTTGAAAATGTTTTGTTGTGGAAATGCCCAAAATTAAAAAGTATCTTCACTCTAGCTATTGTTGCAAGCCTTCCAGAGTTGAGAACACTTGGAGTATATTATTGTGCGAGAATGGGAGGGAATATTTTGTGAAGAATCACTCAAAAACCTCTCTTCTTCTAATATTTGCTTCCCCAAACTTAAGGAGATTAACATACATCATTGCCACAAAGTGAGATGGTTGTTATCTTATTCTCTTGCATCTCATTGTCCTTCACCAGAGGATATAACCATATACTGTTGCTCTGAATTTGAGGGGCTTATTGGTGAAGAAGCTGCACATGGGGATCATCCATGTCTCTCTTGAGTCATTGCATATTAGAAATAATAATAATCCATATATATATGTTGACGCATTTGCTAAAGTAGCCGTGTTCAATTTACATCTCCCTTTTATTTGAAAATTTTTTGTTTGCTGTCGTATAATATATATATTTGTATAATCATTAAACATAACTTCTACAGTAATTATTTTATTTTTGACTTCACTTTATTATACCTGTATAAACCTCTTTTTATTATTAAATTTTCTTGGCTATATATTCAGGCTGCACAATGAAACTATTTTCTGAGTTTTCCTTATTTTCATAATAATAAAATATTATTTCCTTTTTCTCTTCTTTTTAAATAACAACTTTTATTTGTCAGATGCAGTAACATTTTAGATTTCGTATTCTGCATTTTGGTCAAGTAAATGACTTTTTCATATTGCTTTTGCTATTAGATATTTATTGTGGGAAGCGCTTATTCAAAGTTATTTTTATTCAAAAATAAATTAGTGTTGATGCATTATATAAAAACTACACATACTTTAAGAGAAATATTTTTCCCTTTCAAATTTTTTCACCATGCTTTTCTTTTCTTTTTGATGTGAGAAAATACCTTTTTGTGGCTCTTTCTTTTTCTGCTAAAAATTAAGTTAACATTAGTACTTTTGTTCAAATAATTCTTGTCGGTCAAGAAATATTTAATATGTGTACTTCTTGTTAAAAAAAAAGATATATATTATTTATTAAATGTGATTTAGTTGTTATAATAGAGAATTAACATAATCATGTAGTAAAAAGTATATACAACATTTGCCAGTCACACATTTTTCATGTTACTATAAAAATTGATTGAGTCTGGTAAAACGCATGTTGAGATTATGTTAACACAATTTTAAAAGTACATTATTTTTATTTTGCCATTAAATGATCAATTCGGAAAATACTTATAATGGCCAGCATAATATAAATTAGTGTCTATAGAAGTTCTCACTAGAGATTTCAAACATTTTGATAAAATTTTTCTTCCGCTCACCTACCTCTTTTTCATAGAATTTTTATTTAGCATTTACATTATAATACGAAAGATTAAACTGCTCAAATTTTTCTTTTTCTTTTTTCAGTACTACAAAATATTATTTGCAAGCTGCATTTTTTAATTTATCTTTCCACATATGAATTTGATAAAAAATTTAATCTCTTTAGTTCATTTTAATTTTTTTGTCAAATAATTAATTTTGTTTTTCCAAACAACACTTTCTGGTTTTTATTTTTTATTTCGTCAAGCAAATAATTATATGGAATTGTATTTCATTTAGAATAAGTTGGAGCTGATATAATATCTACAAATTATGTATGTATACACAATATTTGTTAAATTTTCTGTGGACGCTAAAAAGGTCTTTGTCAGTGGCATCTTTTATTGCTATTAAAATTTGTATGTTTTCCTTTCAGCTTTTGTACGAAACTAACTAGCATGCTTTAATCTCTCAGCAACCTTTGATCCGAAATTGTTCTGAACTTGAGAGGCTTGCTGAAGAAGCATCATATGGGGATCGGCTACCACTTCTCAAACTGAAGTACTTAGCTTGCAGTCAGTGCCGAAATTGAGAGAGATCTTCTCTCACGTGAGTGTTTTCTTTAACTATTTCTTTTTTTATTTGTGATGTTTTATGGATAAAATTGATAAATGTCTTTTAAATTATTTATCAAACATAACACTTTATATTTTTCATTTTATAGCTTCGTCGGAGAAATAACTTCTTTGTTATTACAGAAAGTACTTGTTCATGGTTGTTTTGTTAAGAATGAATCAGTGGAAATATTTTCTCATTTTCTTTGGACGTGAGAAAATTCTTTTTACAGGACCTATTTTCCTTTCCTCTTATTTACTTTTTAAATTTATTTGAAAATTTGTGTTTACTATGAAACGATATATACGAGTAGCAAGACTATATTCTAATGAAAAGCAATAATCATTTCAAATTTTATTTAATATTTTGCGTCTATGAAGCAATCTTCTCGTCATGAAATCAAGCTAGAAATTACTTGAAGTATTAGCAATGTTCCCATTAATGCTTGGTTGCGGAATCATTTTTTGTTTTTGTGAGCGGTTCTTTATCATGGAAAGTATGACTTGTCCAAGACTGTTTGGTTTGAAATAAATCAACGTCGATGCATATTTATATATCATACATTGTGTACGTGTGTGTCTATATATATTTCACATTGGACCATCAATAATATGTATAAGAAAA